ATAACAATATGTTGTATACTATAATAGTATACTGTTGCAGTATAACTATATATTCATATAGTATATTGTATACTGTAGCGGTATATTGTTTGGTAACTGTGTTCTTCTTCGATTATTATAATATACCATTGCAGTATATTGTAAACTATAATATTATACAGTTGCATTATTGCTATATACTTCTACATCATATTGTATACCGTAGCAGTAAGGTAGTTGTGTTCTTCTTCGATTTTCAGCTAAAATTTTCGATCTCAATCACCTCAAATCAACTTCAAATGCTATCAAATTTTAGTATGAACTTCCAGAAGGTATTATAAGCAATATTTAACAGCACCCACTTTGAACCAAACAAGAAATCTTCAAAATAAAATTTTTAAAATCAAGAGCTTCAAGCCCAACAATGGTGAATATTCAAATACACATAAAAATTCAGATCCGGAAAGCTTACTTGAAGGTACTATAATCAATATTTTATAACACCCACATTTAACCAAACAATAAACCTTCAAAATAAAATTTTAAATATAGGAGCTTCAAGCTCATCAATGGTGGATCTTCATACACACACACAAATCAAAGCTGGAAAACTTAATATATAACTGCAACAATACATGAGTTCAGAAATACAAATAACTCGCAATTGATGTTGCAACTAGAGTTGTTAGTTCTTTGGAAGGTGCAGGTGTGTTTGCTGTTGAGTTGTTTTTGACAGTGGACGGTCAGGTTATTAGTGCGAATAGAATAAAGGCCGGTTAAATAGTTTGGGCCGCATGGGTAGGAGAAGTAAATAATTTGAGTCTGGTTATTAAAGGGTAAATAGTTTGGAATTAATGGGTATAAAGTGAGATTTTTCCCAAAAATATGCCTTTGCTACTTGTTTTGGCATGGTATAACAACAAACCCATATAATTGGCAGAAAATAGCCCTAGTTATAGATATTAACATCAAATAGCCAATAAATGTATATCACAATAATAATATGTATATCACAACTTTTTTTTCTTTGTCTATATCAACATGTATATTAAAATTTTATTTTCATTCTTTGTATATAAATAACACTATTCATTGTATATAAATAATATAAAATTATATATATAGTTATTGCTGCCTTTATATTAATGTATATCACAATACAAATATTGTATTATTTGTATATCACAGTGTATTGCACATCACACTGTGTATATCAAAATAGACATCATAAATTTATTTTTCTTCTTTATGTATATCAAAAATTAATTTTCTTTGCATACCAAAATATTATTTACTCCCACAATTATATTTATTTTTTTATATTTTAGAACTTGCTTAAACATGCTATATCAAAAATTATTTTCCTTTTTATCAATAATTAATAATTATATTATTTGTATATCACAGTGTATAACATAATAATAGTGTGTATATCAAAACAATTTATTAAAATTTTATTTTCCTTCTTTGTATAACACATTTCATATTGAAAACTCAAGTTCAAAATGATTCCACATGTGTATCCCCTATTGTAACCCCTGTATATCTCCATGTACATCAGTGATATCTCATATATATTATGTGTATCTATGTATATCCATAAAAATTTGTGTTATATATACGATATACAATGTGATACACATGGGCGTCCATAAAATAAATTTTGTTGTATACACGATATACAAAGTGATATACACAAACATCCTTAAAAACTTGTGTATGATATACACTGATGTACACGATATACAACGTGATATACACATGTCGTAGTTAGATTTTTAAGTCTGATTTTTTACCTAAAACCAGTCTAAATCACTTCTAATCTTGCTTAAATTTTGTATATAGACTCGTTTAGGTATTTTCAACCAATTTCAATCACACCCACTCATTCAATCCAACCAAGAAAAGAAGAGAGAAGAAAATAAAGTTAAAATATATATTTTTATCTCTTAGTTTTGGCTAATCTTGCTCAAATTTTGTATATAGCGTCGTTTAGGTATTTTCAACCAATTTCAATCACACCCACTCATTCAATCCAACCAAGAAAAGAAGAGAGAAGAAAATAAAGTTAAAATATATATTTTTATCTCTTAGTTTTGGCTAATCTTGCTCAAATTTTGTATATAGCGTCGTTTAGGTATTTTCAACCAATTTCAATCACACCCACTCATTCAATCCAACNAAAAAAAAAAAAAAAAAAAAGAGAGAGAAAAAAAATAAAGTTGAAATATATTTTTTTTCTCTTAGTTTTTACTTCTGATTTTCTGTGATGTGAGATGAACCTTACCTTTTTATCCCACTGTTTTTTTTGCATAATTTGCAAGAATTTTTGCTAAACTATGAGAGCAAAAGAGAAGAGATAGAATGAGAAATACAAGGAGAGAAAGGGGGAGGGAAGCCGAAGCCAAAATAAGCGTGTAGTTTTTTTTAGAGAGAATATAGAAAAGAGTAATTTTTTTAAGATTTGGCTACATAATGCCAATTGTTTAGGGTTATCTTTGCCAAACTTAATATAAGGCTAAAAAATGCCAATTTTTGTTATGTGTTGTTATAGGATGCCAATTTTTCTTTTTCCTTTGCCAAAATATTTTGAAGAATTAACCCAAATAACATTTCATCTAATCTCTTAAATTAAAAATAGCCGATGAAAGTATAATATATGTATAATTTGTGTATTATATATGTATAATCAATATATAATCTATGTATATGGTTAGAAAAAGTAAATAATGAATATGACCTGCTATTTGTATAAAGATCTCAAATATTTTCAAGAAAATTACATTGATAGCTCTTAAAAATAATAGTCAGCAAAGTATATACTTTTGTATATATTTTATCAGCAAATACCCGGATAATGAATACTAGGGTTGGCTTCAGTTAATGGGTCAAAATTTAACCTGGATTTGGTTTCTGGACAAAAGTGTCACGTGGCCCAGTAAAAGATGCCAACGCATTAATTTAAAAGCCCACTTGGTAGGCCATTAAAGGTAGGGATGGGCATAATTTGGTAAATACTGAATTACTGTATCGAAATCGAAAATTTTGGTATTTGGTATACGGTATTTTTGTATTTGGTATGGTATTTGGTTTAAGTTTTTTTTAAAAATTGGTATTAGGTATGGTATTTGGTATTTTAAGATAAAATACCGAAATACCAATACTGTACCGAAATATATATTATATTATACAAAACACATATTATCAATTATAACATAAATATAAAAAATATAAAATTTTACTTTCCTTTATTCTCAAAGTTCATCAATTAACTCTAAACAAGTAACAAGACATTTCTAATGATCAAATATTCTTTTATGTACAATTTTCTCTATTTGGGTCGATATTTGCTAGTTTTAGACAAAATTTTTGTCAACAAACATTTTCAGTTTTGTATTTTTGAGTACTTTAATTAAGAATATTAGAGTGTATGGCTCTATGCACTAGTTAGTATTCAAACCGAATAAACCGAAACCGAAAGGAGAAAAACCGAACCATACCAAATTTAATTAGGTACGGTATTGGTATAGGATTTTAAGAAACTGAATACCCAAAATACGAATCGAAATGTCTAAATACCGTACTGTACCGACCGACAAACACCCCTAATTAAATATATATTTTATTAAGGTAAAATACATAAATAGCCCCTTTAAGTTATCCCCAACGATTATTTGAACACTTAAACTAACCTACTTACCATTTAAACAATTTTATTTAATAGAAGTGTGTGCCATTAAACACCTTGTGCTCACATGGAAAATTAATTGTGCCGCACTAAACATTAAGTAATGTTGTTTTCCTTTATTTTCAGCTCAAATTATTTTTATGTGTGGCCCGCACCACATTTTCCTTTTTTTCCTCCAAAATATTTTCACCGTCTCCCCCAAAAAATTCATCTCCACCAACCAACCTTCCTTCACCCTAACACCAGCGGCTCCTACTCATTTTAGGGCTACCGTCTGCCATAAATCCACCACAAAATAAGGAAACAAGCCAACAATCTCAACTATTTAGCGAAACCCAAGGTTGACCAGCAATAACAAGCATAAAAACAAGAGATTTGACCCAAGAAGGGCCACGAATTTGCAAATTCTCATCTCCGGCGAAGCACTTGATTACTGCAACCATTTTTACCTCATTGTCGTTATCGTCTAGGAGCTATTTTTCAAGTTCTCGAAGCTGATTCATCATATTTTTCTCCGATTTCTAGGCAAAATTGTCTATCCGATAACAGATCTATTTATGATCCAGAGTTAGAGTTAAAACCTATGTGGGATTATTCTTTAAGAAGTCTCCTGATAATTTCAAGACTTTATATTAGGGATATAAAAGTGGAGTGTTGTTTGGAACATGTAGAAGAAAAGAAATTAAAGAGAGAATAAATGGGGAAAGATTATTGGGACCGAAGAAATGGGTGGGAAAGACAGTGGACACATCTTTTCCATAGAAGACGACAAGCTTTTAGTGGAAGAACTGAAAAATTATGTTTTAGTCTTTTTTACTATTTCTTAATTACATGTGAAATTATTTTTATTTAAAATTACATGTGTTCTTACTTAATTGGTCTGTGGTCTGCTTGACTTAAGTGTCCAACAAATACACTTCTGTCAAATAAAAGTGTTTAAATGATAGTTTGAGTGGTCAAATGATCGTTGGAGACAACTTGAGCTATTTATGTATTTCGCCTTTTATTAATAAAAATAACATACTTTTGAACTAATAGATGTACGAAAAGTAAATGTAAACCTTTTACCAAACAACATGTGTAGTTTTGATCCTTTTCCGTTCATAAAATTATATTAAGAATGAATCTAAGTAGCCGTCACCCAATCGTTTAATTTAAAAATGGCCGATAGGTGTATTTTTCAGAAGTAATCGAAGAATTTCTTGGGCAATTTATATATAATATATGTATAATCAATGCATAATCTATGTATACGGACTTAAAAAAATAATGAATCCTGCCGGCTATTTGTGTAAAAATCCGGAATTATATTTGGCTGATGGGCTAAATGGGTAAGTTGCCCAAAATTTTCCAAGACTTTGAGATTGTGCAATTGACCTTTCTCACTTTCTCTTCTTCATCTCCTCCTTGACACCATGAACACCTTAAACCCTTTCGCTGCAAAAAGGAACAATTTTCACAACCAATTCATCCCTTCATTCGATCAACATTGCTCTGTCTTAACTAAACAACCCCTTAATAATTCTCTTTACTTTAGAACCCAATTACCACTATCTTTATCCTCCTCTTACTTACCCATCAAATCCTCCTCCTCAATTCCTAAAACCCCTAATTCACAACCCTTCAAATCATTAACCCCACTCTCTTTCCTTAAACCCACACTAATCTCCACCATTACCGCCACTGCACTTTTCCTCACAGGATTCTATCTCAACCCTAAGCCAGCCATTTCTACCCCTCTTTCTCCCCCGCCCACCGTTGACACAACAACTGTAAATGAAGAAAATGCCCTTAAAGAGGAGCTTGTCTCTAACCCCAATGATGTTGATACAACTGCAAATGAACCAGTCTCAGAAGATAATACCGAAAATGCCCTCGTAGACGAGCTCCTCTCTAACCCCAATGATGTTGAAATCTTGAGAAATTTGTTAGAAAATCACATTAAGAATAGAGAATTAGTGGATGCGCTTAGCATATTAAACAAGTTAATCGAGCTCGAGCCGAATGAGACTGAATGGTGTTTTTTGAAATCTCATTTGTATGTTCATAATGGGGAGCTTGAATTAGCCAAACTAGGATTTAGAGAAGTAATATCGAAGGATCCTTATCACGTCGAGGCTTATCGCGGGCTTGTTGTGGTGGCAGGATCAGAAGACGATTCGTTAGAGGAAATGAAGGAAATAGAAAAAAAAGTTGAGGAGGGAATTAAAATGTGTGAGGAGGAGAATATAAAGGATGAAATGAGGGATTTTAAGCTCTTGCTTGCGCAAATATGGGTTATTGAAGGTAAATATGATGAGGCGTTGAAGGTTTATCATGAGTTAGTGGCTGAGGAGCCGAGTGATTTTAGGCCTTACTTGTGTCAAGGCATGATATATACAATGTTGAAGAAGAACGACAAGGCTGAGAAGTATTTTGAGAAGTATCGGGGACTGGTACCGCGTGCGAATCCTAATGCTAGGTTTGAATTTATGATGGCGACTTGATGGCACTAAAGGTTTTTGCAGAGAAGGCGGAGGATTATATGATTGAGGTATTGTAGAAATCGAGTTGCATTATGTGTTTGGAGTTTGTTTATATTTTTCTTATTAGATGTTTAGTGAAGGTAGGCTTTTATATTTAGTTTTTGCAATAAGGTAGGAATTCAAACATCAAACAAAAATCTTTATAATTTAGTGGAATAGAGCTCAAAACATCGTTAGTGTAGATTCATATAGCCGATCCCTGCTTGTTTGGAACTGAGGCGCAGCTGATGTTTGTTAGTGAATGGAACTTGAAGCTATTTAAATTCGGATGATATTTTGAATGACATGATAAACTATATTGAATTTTATCAAGAATGTGAAACAGATTGATACTTTGTGATATTATCTTTTTCTAATGCAATCATTCCTGTGCAATATGCTCCAAGTCCTATATGTTGTGAGTTGTTACTTCTGAGGCTGAAGACACAAGATTTCATGGGAAAAGTTAGCTGCTACAGATATACAACAACAACAACAACAACAACCCAGTGCTACAGATATGTGGGAGAGTTAGTGATTACTCTGCTTCATTTAAACAAGTCTAACTGTTGGTGCAATAGATCCTTGTGGTCCGGCGCATAGCGGAAGCTTAGTGCACCGGGCTAATTGTTGGTGCTAGCTTGAGTTATGTTATTCATACCATACTACACTTGCAATCCAAGAACTAAGAGGGAAATCTGAGTTCATTAGAGATAACATGACCCCAGTTTCTTAAAAATGCGGAACTCTTGTTATTTCTGAAATTATCCTAAATGGGTAGTGTTTGTTCAGATTAAATGGAGATTAAGCTCACACAGACAGACAAATTAAACCTGTATGTTCTTTGTTGTTTTGCAGAGTGAACTCAAGAGACTTCGTCCTAAAAAAGTAGTCTTTGTTATTTAGTTGTTCTGTTTTTCATTTTTTCTTTATCCTTCCGATGGTGCATTTGGTGGGAGGTTGGATGGACTAGATCCTTATATAATAATGTAGGAGATTTGCATGATTACAAGATTGGTAAACATAACTTGAGCATCAGGCTACAACATTTCATGTTCCATATAGTTGCTTATCTAGTTTGTGGAATACAAGTTAGAAGTTCATTAGTACATATTATGTTGATCTTCTCCTACATGGGGTTTTCTGTGAATAGCTATGTTGCTCGGACTCTCAAAACATGCCGTCGGGTGCATGTCGGATCCTCCAAAAGTAGTGTATTTTTTAAGAATCCGATACGGGTGCGGCAACTTTTTGGAGATTTCTCGCAACTGAATAGCCCTCTAGAAATTCATTTCTCTTTGCCTCCTGGGCTTTGGTCTAATGGGAAGAGCGCAACAAGTGATGTATGGGTTAGGCGCACGTCACGGTTTCGGATCTCACCATAAACAAAAAACTTGTATTTAAGTGGAGAAGAGTTGAGGTGCTCATTATTCACTGATTTTCAAACTGTGTGCCATTGACCATTGGGGATATCTCAGTTATGAGAAGAAAGAAAAAGTTAATGAGTCCAAAGATGCTCTTTTCTCTTCATGTCTTGAAGTTTTCTGTTTATACTGAATCTACTAGTGGAAAGAAAATCTTAGTAATAACACAAAACCTCAGCATTTTCTTTTAAACCATTTTCAATGAATTGGAAAATCTCTTGATTCAAGTGTCATGACTCATGTGATATGCTTTATACGAAGTTGTATGACAACAATATATGCATCCTTTTCATTGGAAAGTTTTCAATATACAGGCTATAGTGTAAATAATTCTACATATTTCTAATCAACAGTAGAATGGCGCTGCACTGACATTAGCCTAGTCTTCATATTACTCACATACCTAAATAGGTGGTTTTTTTTTTTCCTTGGGTTTATGAGATTCATCAAAATAGAACCTTTGGAGAAATGTTTGGAGATTTGACTATGTATGTATGGATTAATTGGCACAGAGGAAGGGAGCTTGCTAACTAATACTCCATCGGTTTCATTTATCATCCTGTTCGACAATTTATGGTCTTTATCCGAGAATAGAAGTGGTCTTTGGCGATTTTTTATGTGAATTTGGTGGGTTGTCCCCCCTTCCTATGGGTTCCCCACCAACCTAGTGACACTAACCACGCCCCTTCTCTTTCTCCGACCCCATGATCCCTTTATTTGTCTTTCATCCCCCCTGATAAGTAAGACCCCGCTCTTTCTAATTCAAAAAAAAAGAGGGGCGAAGTGCCCGTTTGAAGTGGCGAAGACCTATGTTACAGTAAGAAAAAAAAAGTACGTTGAGGTTACAAAGTCACTTATTTGAACTAGAAAACTATAAAGAAATGGAAGCTAATGTTACGAAGTAAGGTTAGTTGGTTAAGGACTATGAAAGCTTCTCATTTTCAGGTAAAATGGGAAGTTTAAGTTAAATTATTTTCAAATTTAAAAACGAGTTATTCTTTTTGGAACATATTAAAAAAGTAAGATCACATAAACTGAAACGAAGTGAGTAACAAATGAAATTGTAAACTTGGCTCCACCCTCTCACCTTCCCCATTGCTCAGAGTAAAACGAAAGAGAATGAATATGAAAGAGGAAGCTTCCTTGAAAATTATTACCAGATTCCTTTTCCTTTCCGGGCAGCTGAGGATACAATCTTTCAGCTTTATCTGCAGCAAGAAAAAATTGGAATAATGCTAAATTTACCGAAAAGAATTACTTATAATACCTGGTACGTTTGCACAAGAATATAAATGTAATTATATTGCATCTCTTGCATATAAAACTTTGGTTATATGATATGTATTCTCACTTTAGTCTGCTCGTTTTGGTTACAAGTTTTTTTTTTCGACGAGTTTATCCTGTGACATGTGGTAAAGTAAGTAGGCAGCAAAAAAATTTCCATGAAAATCAAAAAGTTCACCAGCACCACACCACAATGTAAAATCCAGCAGGAAGATGATAAAAAAAGATCCCAGGCTATAATTTCCTTAATCTAAAGCACATAAACTTCAAAATTTACATAAGGTGAATAGTTGTTGGATTTGGAGAAACATTATCTATGTTGTCATGAGAAAGTACCAACTGCTGCTTGACATCTTTCATGAACTCAGAATTACTTAAATTAACTTTGGCTGAAGAAGGGACTGAAGATGCTAGCGTTGGTGTCATAAGCTGTGCATTCTTCACCTTTGAAATGCTTGCAAGAACCCCTAATGGTGTCACATCCCCGATAACCGTTACCTTCTTATCAGCAAAATCTATGTTGAAAGATGTCACGCCTGCACGGTGCAAAAGATATTCGCACAATCAGATTGTTTATAAGGTAACTACAGGTAAAAGAACTATAGGTTACATGTCGCGCTAACACTGAGTTTGACATGCGCTATTGAAATCATTAGTTCTTTAACATGTCGTGATGGTGGTAGTGGTGGTGGAAGGGAGGAGGTTTTAGTGGTGGAGAAGAAGTGGAGGGGATGGGGTAAAATGGGCTGGGGGCGGTGACGTATCATGACATCTGGTGTCCATCTCACCAAAATATCAGTGCCATGCAAAATTGGGTGTCCATCTTGAACAATCCTAACAGAGGAGAGGTATATCTGAACCATTTGGGTAATGACGGGGGTACTTTTGTGTGGATAGTATAACGAAAGGTAAATTGATCCTTTTTGCAAAGTAGATGAGCAAATTTGATCATTTTCCTAAATTTATACTGACAGTGTATACACTCAAACCTCTCTATAATAACCTCATTTGTTCCGGATATTTTTGGATGTTATAACAAATTGTTGTTATAGAGAACATATATTATAACATAATACGAAATTGGTTCCGGAAAAATCTTGGCTTTTATAGTGAATTACTATTATATAAGGATGATGTTATAGAGAGGTGTGACCGTATAAGTTAAGAAAACGAACGCATCGAGAAAATGTCAAAAAGGGGGCATGTCAATGGTCCCCAACAAATTGTACAAGGAGAAAAAAGTTATCACAGAGTGTAGAGCCACACACCTTGCATTCTGGATATATGTTTCCTCATCTTCCTTTCACATCCTTTACAGTGCAGTGAAACTCTAAGAACAACCACCTGCAACAAATATTCATTACTCTGTCATATATTGTCTCTTTTGTCCTTTTTTGGACCACTTTCTACAAATAATCCTCCTACTTTCTGATGCTAACAAACAAGAGAAATGTTTTCTGTATCTTTCTGAAAAGGAAATCAAGATACTATCAAATTAGATTAATGCTAGACAGACCTTTTTCTTTTGATCTAGTATTATAGTTGAAAGGTCTTGTAGAAGCCAAGAAAGTACTATCTAGGCCGCCATGAAACCCTTACTTTTTGCAGCGACTAAAGGGATAGCTATGTAAAATTGTCTTCGAGAACGGGATCTTTACACAAATAATCAGTCAGATTCACTGTTTACTTTTCCTAGCCGGCATACATATATTACATACTTATATATTATACACTGAGTATATACAATTATATACATATTATACATGGATTATACATCGGTCGCTATTGCTAGTTTAAACAGTTAGGTGGGCGGTTATTTAGGTTAATTCTTCGAAAACACTTTATGATTTGAAAGGAGAAGAGCAAGAAAAAACCTGATTAGCAGGTGGTGGTTTTGTAGGACAAGATTCATCTGTTTCTGTTTTCACAGCTTCCACAGAATTACTAGGAACCAACTTGAGAATAGGATCAAAATCTGATAAAGCATCCAACAAATTACTTTTCTGATCACCCAAAAGATACCTAGAAGAACCAGGCGGTGTTATAAATTCACCAGGTTTTGTGCATCTCCAGCTACTACTAGTTGTAGTCTTAATACTAATATTCTCATTTCCCTCAGCACTGCTCTTCCTTTTCTCATCATTATCCTTAGCTATCAATGGCTTTCTTGAGCCTTTTCTCTTGGTTTCTTTAGCTGGTTTCGAGGATGTTTTTCGGTTCTTGTTCTGAGGTTTTGGTGAAATTGGTGAGTGAGCTGAGCAAGGAGCAGAGACGGATTTAGGACCTGTTCGTCGCGAATCCCTGATTATGGGGTTGTACCTGAAGAGAAGATTAAAAATGATTACTTTGAGAGAGTATTCATGTTGTATTGGTTACTAAAATGCATTACAGTTGTTATAAGACTTCCTGAAAAACTAAGAGATAAGGACAGTCCAGTGTACAAGGCATCCCGCGTTGATGCAGGGTGCGGGAAGGGCCGCACCCCAAGGGGTTTGATCTAGACAACCTACTCTAATGCAAGCATTAGTGGCTGTTTCTACGGCTCGAATCCGCGACCTATAAGTTACACAGAGACAACTTTACCGTTGCTCCAAGGCTCCCCTTCGAAAAACTAAGAGTTAGAAAAAAGTCATCAATTAGTTCAAAGATATGTAATACTATCATTTTTAAAGAAATAAATGCATTAATTCCAACAGTAGTACCGGTCAATAGCGCGACTGCTGGAAATGCTGCCGCCGCCGAGTTGGATAATGGAAGAGGAAGCTGAAGAGGAAGAAGCTTCTTCCATACTAAGACATATTGCTGTTGCAGCTTGGGATGCACAGAATATATCTTTCATTTTTCAAGAAAATTATGAGTCTAGAAATGTAAGGAAATATATGGGAAGTAGTGGAATTTGAAGGCTAATTAATGGTTTAGAGAATCTGAATCGAAACTTTTGGTGAAAGCAAAAAGAGTGCAAGGAACTGTTTGAGAGAATGCTTTTATGATTGAAAGTGTTTGAGATAGAAGGAGATAAGGAGAGTGAGTTGTTTACTACGGGAAGAGGAATTGAAGGAAGTGATATTGCCTAGTGTTTTTACTTTATATGTATTTAAGTTCACATGCTAACTTATGATACCAGCCTGGAGATAGATTCTTTTTCAACTTCTGAAATTACTCTCTCGGGTAGAGCTAAGGTCTACGTACACACTACTCTTCTCAGACCTCACTAATGGAATTTTACTGGATCATTATTGCTCTTGTTGCTTCTGAAATTTACTCTTTTGCTCCATTTTAGTTACAGGTGTATCAGCAGCCGAGAGACAAAGCATCCCACGTTCATGGGGTCCACAGAAGAGTCGCACCTATCGGCGGAGCTAGAATGCCGAGAGCTAGTTCGGCCGAACTCGGTAGCTTTGGTTCGAATCCTGTATTTGTCTTAAAAAATTCATTGAATATGTATAAATTATTAATTTAGAATCCAGTAATTTAAGACGATTAAAATCTCGAACCCATAAGCTTGAAATCCTGACTCCACCACTGATCGCACCCCAAAGGGTGTGTCATGACTTCTAATAATTTTTTGAACTTCAAAAGTTAGTTAAGTATTGCGATAAGAATTTGCGTTTATTAATAAAAGGAAAAGGGTGCAAATTTCTCACCTATAGGAAATATCTAAAATTATCCTCCCTTATATTTTCGGGTATTCCTACCCTTGTTGTTAGTGAAATATTTTGTATTTTCTCTTAATCCTAATAGAGCTCCAACCTAAATCGCAGCCAAAAGTAGAGAGATGGATTCGGACTTTTCCAAAATGCTTTGACACATGGAATTCATACAAATATTTAATACCTATGTGAATGAGGAATAAGTACTTGCACAGATTAAAAATTAAAAATTAAGAAACAATATTGGTGAATTGTGATTAAATACCCATATTTAATAAGTTAAAGTTGAAGGAGTGACACTCGTGGACTGGGTTTTCTGAAAGATTCAGTGACAGTTTCCTAAGAGTGCGCTTCTGCCTCATTTATCTAAACATTTTATTTTATGTTATTAGACTTCTTTTTTGATACAATACATAAATAGTAAAAATTTATTTGCACGAGTATTTATATCAAATCATACTAATTTACAATAGTTAAGTGATAAATTAAGGGAGATAATGTGTATTATTTAAATATGATTTAGTGATAAGTACTTATTCAATGATATAAACAATCGGTGCAAATAAGTTTTTACGGCTAGAAATACTGAGTTGTAAAAAGTAAAAAAATTAAATGATACTCTAGGCATGGCCTACATAGAATGAGACACTGCAACGGCTAAATAATCTGTAGACACTCAATTTTTTTCTTCTTAGCATGCAATTCAAAGTTCAGATTTCATGTGCAGTTGTTCACTTGTTCTGATACAAAAAACAGAAACTTTTTGTTTCATTCAATTCATGGGGTTTTAACAAACTGCCAAGCTAAATAAATTTACTTCATTTATTGTTTTTTATTACTCGATATTCCAAATTCAATATACATTTTCAGACATATGAGTTACAATTTTTGTGTTATGTTCATGTGAAATTGACATTGATCCAAAAATATTTGTAAAAAAACAAAATAAAATTGTAAAAATAGACAATAACATGAAATTTTACAACATTTATTGAAAAGTTTAACTATGCAAGCTTTAAGAAAGTATTAGAACTAATTGAACCATCTTGGTTTAAACATATAGGTAGACAGTATTGTAATTAACTCAATTGTTAATTTCAGAACAATTTATTGGATTAAAATGTAAAACTTGAAAACTATTTGGTGTGGGAAGACGTTGCAACCTTAAACTGAGGGGTCTGAAGGCAGTTTAATAAAATCAGAGGAAAGTGGATTTACTGTAACATAAATGAATTAGAATTTTGAAGGATCATTGCCACAATTTTGCAATAATGATTTTCCAAGCATTTACTTCTCTGACTGCATTGCCCCTATTTCACACCATAAGTACTTCTCTTGCATATTGCAGGCCAAACTAAGGTAACTTCTATGAGTATTAGGCGGATTTAGGATTTTCATTTGATCGGTAAATCTATTAGATTTTTAATAGTGACAGAGTCAGCAATTAAATACATGAAGAAGCTACAGAAATTCAACATAGCACATAAGTATATAGTATATAATTTTTCGAAGAAGGAATGCCCCTTGATTAATGGTGGCTCCACACTGGTTCTTAGCACTAAGCTCATTGTAACCCTAAATCTTAACTGTGTAGTTAGATAAAAATTCTTTTATCTAACTACACAATTTAATTTTTCGACAATGAGGTGCCCTCTTAATTAATTATGGCTCCACACTAAACTCATTGCACTTCTCAAATTATGAGTTCAGATCTAAACTGAATCCTCCTCGAGACAAATGATTTCATTATTTGTGACACATTGAATCTGCATGAAAAACAACAAATATAAAGTTCAATCAATCGTAGCTTGCACAGGGGCAGGGCTAGGGTGACGGAAGGGGTACTTAATTCTCTTCGCCAAAAGTTTTATTGTATATATAAGATCAAATTTTTTTTATGCATGATATGTTCGTGTTTTTACTTTTTAATATTTCGAATAAAAATTCTCATAGGTAAAAAGTGTTTAATCAAATACCAAAAAGAAACGTTTTTTTGGTGAAAGTGGGCGGTCCAATAAGTTGGAATGAGAAAGGAGAAAACTTTGATATAGTTGGAGAATAAGAATATAGGAACCATATTCGTATTCTAAAAGAACCATATGCCTCTCTCCATTTGCAAATGCGTTTGGAATTTTTCTTTTACAGATGATAATGAGAGCTAACAGCTTCACAGAATCAGATGCCTTTCAAAAACATAACACACAAAGTCTCTTTTCCTTCTTCTTCTCTTCTTCCTTTTCTTTTTCCCTTTACATTACTTCAAAACAAAAACATCTTAAAGGATTCCTACACTTGGACGTTGTACCTACCTGCATTTTAGCCCTCACCCTTTTTTATGAACTTTTATTCAGATACTTTAATTCTGCTTTTATAAATAAAAATAAAAAAATAAGGAATTTCTTTTCCGCCCTGTGTCATGTACCTGTTTTGGGGCTCGACTAATCCGTGTTGGTGTGTTGCTGCTCACAAATTTGTTCTCAGGTGCACTTTCTTTTATAAATTGCTTCTGGAATCAACATAGCGCCACAAAACTTTTCATTTCATTATCGTAAGACACAAACTATCAGTGAATGTTATGACAATCAGTTCCAACGTGATGAAATTTGTTATGGCAATTTCAATACCGAGAAGGTACTAAAACTTCGTCAGTCTCTCAAGGACAATATACTATATAGGCAATGGAACCAAAAATTTATATAAGGGAATTCAAAAATATTCTAGGATATTACTCTTTACATTATGTAATTTTCCACCAAAGGGGTTCGGCCTTTCACTCTACCTAGTTCCGACCATGATAATAGGTAGATGCATTTTTTGTAAGAACTAGTCTTAGGGTACGCGTTTTGCGCGTGCACTTATATCAAGGGGTACACAATTAAAAAAATCACATAATATATTTGAGTTAAAAAATAAAAGTTTAAAAACGATAAGTTCTTGAAAATAATGAATGTTAATCTCACTTAGCTAACTCAATGAAAAAAAAGCCCGCTCCACAAAAGTCCTAAGATGCCTTATTGTGATTTCAAAATTAATGTTTTTTTACCTAATATACAAAACACATAAACCACAAAACATAATTTTCAAACAAAAAAAATTAAAAGTTAAATCTTTTGTTATTTTAGAGATTTGAAAATAAAGAGGTTGTCTTATATCATAGAAAAAATCTATGGTAATATGATGCAAAGTCTGAAAATGATTAATGTTGAATTAATATTTTACCAAAGTAATTTAATATAAAAAAAAATGCAGGGAGCTATCATGTGTTGAAAGAAATATGAACAGAAACAAAAATTAATTATAAACTTAATTCAATTTAGAATGCATTTTGTTTAATTTGATTCTTTTTTTTTTGGTCGAAATTATAATTTTTATTCCAACCTTTTTTGCAAAGTTACACCATCTGCTCTCTATGGACCCTTGAGCAAATCTCAAAACAAAACAAATCATAAACAACCTATACAACTCTTCTGTTGCTATCTATTACAACGTATACACTATCCTATACACAACTAGGATAGTTGTTTAATCTTTCCACTAATGGTCTCCACTTTGGTTTCATTTGTCCAGTTACTTGAATTTGGACAACAATTTCTTTTGCTCTGTCTTGTATTGCCTTCTTGCATTGTTGAAATCTTCTGTTGTTTCTTTCCATCCATATGTTATACACCACAACATCAAACACAATTCCTAGTAAAGCTCTCTTTGGATTTTTATTACTCACATTCTTGATTAGCCAATTCACTTCTTCTTCCCAATCTTCAATTCTTCTGTGATAACCCATCCATGTTAACATACTTTTCCACAATTTCGTTGAATATGAACACTCAAAGAATAAGTGTTCATGTGTCTCAATCACATCTCTTTCACACAAGACACATCCCTGTTCTACATGAATTTCCCACTTTATCAATCTGTCCATTGTTGCCATTCTTCTATGCATTGCCATCCACATTATGAATTGTTGCTTTGGCAGACTACCATTAATCATTGTTACAGATTTCCACCTCACTTTAGGTCATTCTGGAAAGCTTTGTATGTATGCTGTTTTGATACTGAACTTCCCATTCTTCATGCACGACTGTATTCTTGCATATCATTTGCCCACCATTCCCTTGCATTGAAGATTTTCCTTACAAGCCAACTAGCTTGTTTAGGTACTTCCATACTTGTTATATCTTTCCTCTTTATGTATTGACCATGTATCCATTTTATCCAGAGTTTGTCCTTCTTGTTCACTACTGCCCATAACAACTTTGTTATTGCTGCCTTATTCCATCTTTCATAGTTGATTATGTTTAGTCCCCCTGCTGCTTTTGGCTTACACAAAGTGTCCCAAGATATAGGATTCCTCTGAGAATTCTCATTGCTTCCATCCAGTCCACAAATCCTCCTGCATATGCCATTCACCATTTTTAC